TCAAATCAAATGAGGGTAGCAGGTCGCACAGGTATTATGGTGTCTGATGGTATATTTGGATGCAAATTCGAAGGGCCAGGCTAATAAAGCTCTTGTTCTGGCGATTATTTCTCCTTCTCCGCGATTCCTTCCCTTTTCACTTCTATTGGCAAATTTGTCCGCTCTTAGTGATGTCATAATCAGTGACTTATTTACTTGTACTTATTACGGCTGCGATCATGGCTGATATAACCGATCCCGATGATGTCCCGGATGGTACTCCTCACGCGTAAGGGTCCATGACGGCAGACATATACAGATCAACACACTCTTCGCTAACACCAGAGCCCGAATACCAGAGGTCCGAGAACCACATCTGTATTCTGACGGACCGGTAAGGGGTCGCATCTGACGATCAGCTGGGGCTGCCAATTTAACGATGCCTACAGCCCAGTTGGCCTTATTCAGAGACGGTTTCTTAAAAGGAAAACTCAGTCTCACGAGACAGCTTTAACAATCCGAACATATGACAAACTACTTTTAAGATCCTATCACGGACGCTCTGAATGCTACAAGTTCTCAGTAGGTAGGGAATCAGTATAACTAGAGGAAGAATTAGTTGAAATGGCCGTTTCTGTCTTCTTTTCCACCGTCAGCCAGATCTACCCTTGAGGTGATCTGAGATTTGAGGCGGGATCCACTCTGTACTTACGAGGAATGAAAATGTTTGCGTTCCAGTTATTTGCATGGATGAGGAAGCAGACTTATCGAGCAGTTTGTTTATTGTCCTGAACTTTCGAACTCTTACAGGAGTCCATCTTCAGCGATAGGAAGCAGGAGCCAAAAAGCAACCAAAGCCCAACACTTTGCAGTCGGGCCAAGGGCTCACGCTATTGACTGTGATCGGGGAGGGGGGGGGTGGTTACGTAGTGCTGTCCACCCGCCCACCGTACCCGACTTAAACCTCAGGGTTCCACATATCTGAGACGGAGGTGTACGATTCGCTGACGACAGTAGATATGACAAAAGTGGTCATTTCGGTTTCCTTAATCCCTATCAGTAATACGTAATAGGCATTGAAGTGTGGTTAGTAAGGAAGCGTATATGTACAGTCAATGAACGCTCTCATGAAATGCTAAATGAAGCTATAAATGCGTTTTCGATTAGGAAAGATTACTTCAGTGGAGTTGTAGTGTTCCAGGATGCCGGCTTTTGAATGCTCGTCTGTTCGACCACCTGTTTAAACCCCACATTCAGCTAGTATTTACTACTTACGCCGTATGCATTTTTATATTGATTTTCAATGACCTTATTTATATTCAGTGAGCATTCAAGAAACCAAGTTTGTTGAACGTACTTTTTCGATTATTCTTCATCAGGTACTTAAAATAATGCAAGGGAGGATTTAAACATCCAATAAACAGTAAGTAAGGGGGAGAGGGTTGAGAGTGTTTAAAGCGGATTTTTAAACTTTTGTCGGCAACAGTAGCTTATGTAGCCCCACTCATTAATCCCTACAACCTGCATTTTTTCTTACG